CCCCAAAACCCCAAAACCCCAATCGGTAAAATCGAAGTGTATATTGATGACGATAGAAGTATCTAATTTAGATTTTAAATTTAAATATAAACTTAAATAAGATGAACAGACCAGCCTCTAAATCTAACAATAAAATTTCAGATTCATCTAGACCTAATAGTTAGGGAAGTAGCAGCGATTAGAATGACAAGATGACTGATAACTACTTATTCCAGCAGGCTTACCCCTAGTTCGAGCTTAACGGTCCTCCCAATGCTATGCTTTTAGCGACAACTCATCCCAACACCAACAGAGATATTTTCTTAAAGGAAGAAGTAACTATACCCATTCCCTTCTTTACAACATTACTTAGGAATGAAAATAAGCTCATGTATAAATTTAAGAGCAAGATTTAAATCAATAGGATTATGTGGACAGCGAAATTATCAACGAGTATTCTTACTTGACATTAAAAATCTTCCTTAGGAGCTTTATGGATAGATTGGAGAATATTTAGGTATAAATGCAGGAGTAGAACTAAAGTCAGATTGAGGAAGAAGCTAGACAGCTATAGCAAGAATCACAAGATAAGAATCTAAGTGGCTTTGATGAAGAGAATGAGTTTTACAGCAATAGGTAGTCTAGTGCCAACATACTTTGAAAAAGTAAGGGAATTCACTTATACATACATCATATATCGAACTCGGTTTTAATGAATCATTTCTATAGAGAAGACTATGTTTAACTTTGATGCATAAAATGGCTTATCTTCAGATAAAATGCTGCATAATATGGATAGAAAGCATCCAAGACTTATCGAAAAAAATCCTCTAAGTACTTATACTTTATCAATAATGCATTTTAGCTGGGAAACTTGAATACAAGTTACATCCCTACTGCAAAACAAAAACAGGTTGGCATTGTTGCACTAAAAATTCAAGGAAATCTGATTTCTCTCGCTACGGCATAGGAATCGTCCTTTACTTCTAATTCCTAAAGCACATGACAATTGTGTTCTGCTTGATGGCTTTGTTAAGTATTCCAGCCTACATCTTTTTCTTCAGTGGCAACTCTGCTGACACTTCTAACTACAGCAATTTAAAATACATCCTGGCTGCTTTTTCATTGGGGAATATTGGTTAATGTAAGCATACAGTTCTTAAAATTGTTATATAGCATAAATCGCATGCAACAGTGCTCAAGTCAGTGATGGTGGAATTAACCTGTATTGCCCCATTGGTTCTCTAAATTCTATCAAGACTTTTGGACAGGCTCTTATATCGAGATAGTAAACCTGCAGTCGATCAGTTGGAGAAGCAGAACTAATTTATGAGCCATCTACCTGTGATTACACAAGTATAAATAACTTTGGCTATCAAAACCAGCTAAATCTCTATCAAAATTTTACTCGTTACTGCTTTGGAAAGGTAAGCTGTACATTCCCACTCACTTAGCAAATGATTCCTGCTAATTGTACTAATAAAGATGGCAAGAAGTACGAATACAACTAGGTCATCTATTTCATGAAAGCTTACTGCCAGAGTGATTATATAAACGTATTCCTGAATGATAAAGATTTTCTCAGGAAAGATAGAGTAGGCATAGCAATAGTTATCTTAGATATTCTAATTGCAATTGTCTATTATGGATCTTTCATGTATCTTCAGCGACTTCAAAGCATTACTAAAAAAGAGATAAACTATCAGGTCGTTACTGCCATAGACTTCACAGTCTAGATGAAGAATCTACCTCCTCATAAAAATATAAAGGAGCTTAAAATCCAGATATGGAATTATGTGGAGTACGTTTTAGAATAACACGAAACTAAGTTCTTAATGCCACATGACAAGGTTTCTCCAGATCCATATCAAAATGAAATCATGGATATTTAATTCGGTCTAAGTGGATACAAGAGACTCAAGTACATGATATCAATGGCCAGGCTATTAAAAAGAAAGAGGAAGCAAGAATTGCTTCTGGATAAGACTGAAAATCCAAATGATCATCTGCTTTTCCTGGCAAACATATATAAGATAAATAAATTAGCTTAGAAGAAGTTAGAATCTTTGTAGAGATATTCCAAGAAACACCAGCCTAGGGCTGTAGTAGCCTACATAACGTTTTAGAGTATGAATGGAAGGGAAAAATTTATTAGAGCCATGTAAACTCAAAAATCGAATAATGTATTTGTAGCTTGTGCCAAAGATGTCAAGAAATCAAACCATAAGCTGTAAATATAATTATAGGATTTAGTGTTTTAGAATTGAAGGAGTTTTCCCAAAAGTGAAGCAAGCTCCAGAGCCTTCTGTGATCATTTGGAGGAATCTAAAGATCTCAAACACAAATCGATTCTTAAGAACCATATTTACTACATTTATTACAATATGCATACTTGTAGGAACTGTGGTTGCATTGGTAGCCACTAAATATTTCCAAGAGAAGTATCAATCAAAGTATAATGTTAGTAATTGTGGTTCAATAAGTGTGACTTAATAGCAGGCTTATGAAGGTATTCTTTGCTTTTATAAAAATAATAGATTATCTCTTGCCTGAAGATAGATAGGTGGGACTACTTGCTTGCTACTGCTATAACCAATTGTCTTATATTGAGTATGCAATCTCCTTATAATAATATTCATTTAGAATCGGAATTAAAGAGATAACCTTTCCAAATGGACAGAAACTTTGTAATGAGTGGTTTACTAACTACACATTGACCAATGCTATGATATATGCTGCTGCCTTAGCTATCGTCATTTTTAATGCAATTATTCTTGAAATTCTCATTCGTAATAGTAGCCAATTTAATTCTTTATTTAGTGCTCTCTGAGTTTTAAAGATTTCACACACATACTTAAGAACGAGCATCAAGTACAATCAAGATGACGATAGCCTAAATCATCAATACAGTAACTTCATTAGTTTAAAATATTCTAAAATACTATAGGGAATAGTTATTCTCATTGTTAACGCTAAAATTATTAACAAAGATCTTCCTGAACTAGCTCCTGTGTTCTCTGGACAGTTTCTAGATTTTAGTGCTGAATGGTATAGAGTCGTAGGTTCGACAATAATGCTCGCTATGATAATCAATATCATTTCCCCTCATTTTAGTGCTTTCTTTAAGCAAGGATTCTTTGGATTTCTTAGATGGGCTGATAGGGGTTTTTCAAATGACATTCGCGTCACAAAGAAACTTCATCAGGAAGACTATGAGTATTAGTATGAAGGAATTGAGTTCTTTATTGAATGCAGATATGCTCAGATAATATCTACTATTTACATTTTAATGATGTATTCAGGAGGCATGCCTTTACTATACATAATTGGCATAATTTAATTCCTAATGATGTATCTACTTGATAAGTTTTTCTGTAACATAATTGATATCTTACCTTCATTTAGTCATTAGATGGTATAGACAACCACCAAGATATGGAGACGAGCTTTCAAAACTTTCTACAGAAGCATTGAAATATGCTGTGCTTGTTCATATGGCTTTTGGATTCTATATGTTTTCCAACTCCTCAATATTCTAATTTTAGTAAAAATAGAAAAGTGATTCCTCTAAAGTTGAGATAATATCGACCTCAGAGAATGAGTATGATGGTGAATACTTTTCATCATAAAGATTGACATAAAATCACACTCTGATATATTTGTGCTTTATTCTGCTGTTATTTTTGCTATTTGTAATCATAGAATTAATTAACAACTATTGCAAGTCTACTTGGAGAACATTTTTCAAGTGCCTGATCAATTAAGATAAGGAAAACCAGATGCTGCTTTAATCCTTTAGCAATAATATTTATGCTGAGTTAAGTGGATATGACTTGAAAAGTGAATATAAGAAAACCAAAGCAGAACTAGCTCATTACAAATTCCTAGCTAAAAAAGGCTTGATTAAGAATGACATTTACTCTTAGAACTTCTTAAAGAAACTCTAGGAAAAGCTAGATTTAATTCAAACCATATTATTTATGAAGTTAAAGAGCGCTGGTATCGAGGAGGTTAATGACACAATGGATGGATTCTTCCAATTCATTTAGTCTAGGAAAATAGACAAGCATCACAGGCTTAAAAGCGAATATAGTTATGACATTAGAGACAATCACAAGTACAGAAGAAGCAGAAAAGGTGAAAAGTAGGTCGCTAAGTATTTAGAAAAATTGTTAGAGGCAGAAAATAGGAAATCAAAGAAAAGAGGAGACAGCCAAAGGAATTAGTAATAGCCTGATTAATAATAAAATTGAAGGGTAGCAGTAAGAATTGACTGTAAAACTTCTATGATAAATAGTATTTAGTATTTCTTGAATTACTATCTGTGTAATAATTAATTTCATTATCTGGCCTTAATATTATTCGACGGGGTTTTGGGGTTTTGGGGTTTTGGGG